TTTACTTAATCTTCTGTTCTTAAAAACTATCCTGACGCATATTCATTTTTATGTACATGGTATAAAGCCATTTTCAGACTTGCAAACTATTCCTGATTCAGCATTAAAAGAAACATTTCTGGGACTCTTCGTTTTTGTGATATCTGATGGATTCACTTCCACGAAAATGAGTTCTTTGATGAAAACCTATACAAGTCAGAGCTGTAAGCAAGACATCAGCAGTAGTTAGCTTGTAATGCAGTTGTCTGTAAATTTTCAAAATTATTATGCTCTTTGTTTTCAATCCAATTGCATTGTGAGTAACTAAATTTTAAGCTTCTGTTCTTAAAAACTATTCTGACATATATTCATTTTTATATATATGGTATAAAACCATTACTAGACCTGCAAACTATCTCTAATTCAGCATCAAAAGAAAAATTTCTGGGACTCTTCTCTTTTGGGATATCTGATTGATTCACTTGCATGAAAATGAGTTCTTTGATGAAAATGTATTCAAGTCAGAGCTGTAAGTGAGACATCAGCAATAGTCAGCTTGTAGTGTACTTGTCAAATGTAAAGCATACTCTTATGTGCTGATGAAGTAATTGCTCATTAGTTTTGCTTTCTTCATTTTTGTTGATTATGGTTTCTTATCTTCATGAGTTTGTTTAACTTTTTTTTTATACTGCAATTATTGCTTAAAATTTATGTGTTTAAAAAAAATTATTGATTTTTAATTATATTAAATAATTTTTGTGTAGTTTCTCCTTATATTTATTTTTATAATTTTCTCCATACTACATGATATAGTTTTTATGTTAATAAACAATTATCAGTTTTATTAGTAAATTTTCTGTAGTCAATTAGATCTTGATTGTACTGATCAATTGTTCATACATATTTGGCTATCGACTCTGTGATCATCATTGACCCTCTATAAAATTTCATTAGCCTGCAGAAGGGATATACCGATCCTATTGGGAACACCTGGTTTAAATGATATGTCTGAAAATTGCGGCTGAATAAATTTTTGACTTTAAACATAATAAAATGATGATGTTCAAGACTGCAGACTTTTGAAAAACTAGTGCTTTATTTCAACAGAATGTGGCCACGTGATGTAGATATGAAATGAATGTGCCAACTATGATCGTGAGGAATCTGAGTAAACATATGTGATTGTGAAGAGACCACAGGCATCTTATAAATTTTACATATAGCTGCCAGCTCTCCCGATTTTAGCAAGAGTTTTTTCCCCCATTACATCTCCCTGTAGATACAGGTTGCTGGCAACTCTTATGCCTAATAACTATTCTCCTTACATTGAGCTGTGATTGTTTATATACATTTAAGGTGTTGAAGCCTGTGTTGGTTCATATCTTCAGGATCTCCTTAGACTATCATATGAACATGATTTTTTATATGGCACTTAATGTTTAGCAGTTGTTGATAGCCACCACATTTCACCTGCATACATTTATCAAATTTGTTGCTCATGGAATTCATGTGGCATGTTATCGTACAGCAGCATACAAACCTCAGAATACTTGCATCTGCAGCAGATGAATTCCAACAAATTTCGAAATCGCATCAATTATAAAATATCAAACACACATCCAACCATCTTGTTGTATGGACTAAACTGCACAGCAACATTTTTTGCCATCCCTGTTGGCAACAAATGCAGCTGTGCACACACACAAAGTACTGATTTGTTTATATTATGTAGTAGAATTGGACTATTATTGTAATCATTTCATCATTGCTAGATTATTTGAATATGACGAAGTGCACAAAGCCTATCTGCCTAAGGGGGAAGCCTTTAAGGAGATTTTTCTAAGAAAAGCTAGCTTGTATCCATGTTACACATGGAGAAAAACCAATTATGCAATCAGCCAGTTCACCTAAACCTAGGTGAACTTCCTATATTAAACTACTGGTGGGACTTATTTCATCATTGTATCTAAATTATCTTATGATAACAATGCCTTCATTAGCTCATGTCTTTCATAGTACAGCATACTTAATGATCTGCATTATATTTGCCAGTAAATGATATACGATTCTCTGATGCTGAAGTTGAAAAGGTGTAATGAATACAAGATGATTTTTTCTTTTAACATTTTCTTATAATTTTAGTCATATCTTAATATGAATTTAAATTCTTTCTCTCTTCTTCCTGAGTTAATCAAATTTACGGAGTGACATTAAGATCTTGTCATAAAAAATATGCTTTTATACTTCCGAAATTTTCATAACCTCCTTGCTCGTGGAGAAAGTTGTCTTTCTGTTATCCCCGGACTAAGATGATGACTGAAGTGTTTTTAAACTGATACTCCTCAGAGTCATATGTAGCTCGATCTATTGGCTGGAATGCCAGCATATTTCGTAAGGAGATAAACAACGACATAGAAACAAATTTCGAAAATGGAAACATGGGAATAAAATTAGTTCCAAAAGTTGCCAATAGGGGAAAATGTGGTGCATTTCTAGTTTGCACAGCTGAGAAGTAAACAAATTGATAACAAAAGAAAAAAATTCAGCACAGCACCCCTTCTACAACAAATGAATTGCCCCAAAGGTTTACAGAGATTTTATTTCAGTGCATAATTTATTCAATAAAATCGCTTTCACGGCGAGGTCATATACCTCTTATAATGTAGCCGCCCTTCTCGTGCGTCAACACATTGCATCCTGTACAGAGCATTCTTGACGGACACCAAACATGTCACCAGGAATATTCAGCACAGCCTGTGATATGTTGTCCTTTAAAGCTGTCACACTGTTGGACCTTGAAGTTCAAATAATCCCACAGAAAAAGTCACATAGGGTTAGATCTTGGAAACGAGGCAGGAACGGCGCTAGTCTTTTTGCTACCTCGGGCAAATTCTGCGACTCCGAAATTATGCCGCCCAGTTTTTTCCTAAACTGTAACCATTTTACTGGCCTTTTATTATACCGCTGGTGCGGCCGCAATAATTGCACTGACCCTGAAGTGAGGCGGTTATGTAAGTGGAAAAAAACGAGTTATGACTGTTTCTTCTGTAAAGTATGGCGAAGCATCTGCTATACCGATAGACCAACGCACAATTCTTCTCCAGCCTGCGTAAAAGTTACCTGTTGCAGCAACTGTTTCTGCTGAAGTTGTGGCATATCAAAAGTAGTCAACATATTATATTTTTGCATAGTAACGGTACATGTGTGTGTGGTCCTGTTAGAATAATGTTCTTAAAAAAATTACGGTCTGCTTATGAAAGCTGCTGTAAAACCGTACCACTGACTGCTGGTGAATGCATTGGGATTTCCTAAACTACATGAATTGTTTAGATGCCCAAATTCGAGAACTGAGTATTAACAGTTCCATTTAGGTGAAAATGGGTCTCACATCCCTACAGAATTCTTCACGGCTAAACATCGGCTACATCCATTCTGGAGAGAAATGTCAGAGCAAATGCCACCTTTTTATCGTAATCCTTGTCAGCCATCATCCATTTATCATAATTCTTGCAAGCAGCTTATCTTGTACAAGTAGAATGAAAAACTTATTGAAAAACTTGCCATACCAGTTGAAACATTCAAATCCAATTATGCTTTTCCCCGGGCTCTGCTAATGCCAGCAATCGTCCCTTGGGTGCCGTCAACGATTGCAGTCGTGACATCAGTAATTGTCTGTTCTGACACCAGTTTCTGCCCTCTACCAAACCGAACTGTTAAGGATCTTATTTCTTCAATTTCTGAATCATACCATTCAGTGCATTAATTGATAGAGGGCCTTTAACTAGGTTTTTATGACTTTTAAGTTTACAAAAAATGGCAGTTATGTTTGTTTGATGAAGATAAAACCATTTCTCAAGTAATGCATGCTGAGGTAAAGTCAGACGGATGTTGAACCCTGCTAACATTCGGAATATCCTTTAGTGTTTTTCTGTTATCTTTATAGACTGAATTATTGACTTCACTATTGTTTACGTAACTGAGCATTTGTATTTTCAAATTTTACCTGCGTTTTATATAAATTTTCAGTTGTGTAGTCTAGAATAGCGCCACATTTTCCGTCTGCAGCAATTTTCAAATCCAATTCCCCTAGTCTTTTTCCCATGTCGTCATTAGTCGCCTCACCAATTTGACAGCATTCCAGCTGTTAGATCAAGCATACGTAGCAAGTGGAGAGGGGACCCTCTGCGTTAAATTCTCTTGTTAACAGTAAGGGAATACATTGAAAAAAAGTACTTTATTCTGACTATTTAGAAGAAACTACTCCTAGATATGTTATTTTTAACTTCTGTGCTCTAATACTTCGAAAGCATTTAAGAACTCTAAAGCCAAAGAGAATCTTTTGTCATTTTCATAGAACCCAGTTGAGTTTCGACTTGGTGGCCTGGTAAGAGTGTTAGAGGAACCCATTGGTTCACAAATGGTGCTAAATTTGACTTAAATTTTAGACAGATGTGAGGAATGGCTTATTCACAACCAGTGGGAAAATATTGCGAGTCCAGGTTAAAAAATAAATGTCAGTAGCTGCATAAAGTGGCATTATTGAAAGAGAAAAAAGTAGCAGTGTAACTAAAAACTTAGATTTTTTCAAGTTCTTAAAAGTGGATTTACAACATATGAGAAGTCAAGTGATGTAGTTGTTTTAAATGTTTTTTTTTTTTTTATTAAGAAATAAGATTTTTAATTTTCCTAATTTTCGGACTTGTACACAGAATTAAGTGAATCTAATTGTAATTGATATCTCAAAGTGCCTGTGACAAAATGGTTTTTACAGACAATTTCAGGAGTTCAAGATAAAAAAAAAAAAAAAGTCATTTTAATTTAGGTTCTTACAAGCAAGCGTGAAAGTAAGAGGACTAATTTGCAGGTTGTCCAAGTATTAAACTTGCATATCTTCTGCCAGTTTAATAATAAATTCATTGTTCCACAATTCTGGCATTTCTGTTAATTGATTATTTAAATGATTAATGCTTGCAATTTTTTATCGAATTATTGCCTTATTTAATTTCTAAATTTGTTTCAAGGTAATGTCTGTGATAAAACGTGACATGACGTCTGATTTGGAAATAAAATGTTCAACTAATCTTCAGAAAGTGACGAGTGTGTCTCTTTACGACAATAATTCGGCAGTTTCCGAAGAGCTTGATTTTGAAGACTATAAGGACCAAAGTAATCAAAGCTTACTGAAATCTACAGCAGATAAAGTCGAAAAGGATCACAACTATGTAGAACAAAATTCGACAGCAATGGAAAGCAACAGTATTGGAAAAACGGACACTACGGATGTTATTTCCGTTATTGATGGCGAAATTTTGGATGACGGAGATTTTGATGATCACAATTCTACAGAACAAGATTTGAGAGCAAAGCAAATAAATATTACTGAAAAATTGGAAGCAGAAAGTGTTTTTGACGCTGATGGTGAAATATTGGATGACAGAGATTCAGATGAAAATAGTTCTATAAAGCGAGATTTGGAAACAATGGAGAATAGTAATATTAGAAAGAGTAATGTCTCGGATACTACTTCTGATGCTGACGGTGAATTTTTGGATGATAGAGAGATAAATGATATTGAAGAAGGAGAAATTAAAGAAAATTCACCTGATTCGCCTAGTAATTTTGTTTGTCGTTTTTTTCAAGAAGGAAGATGCAGATGGGGAACTCAGTGCCGTTTTATGCACGTTACTGATAAAGGTCTTTACAATATGTTTGATGAACCTTCTGATAAAAGCAGTCTAACTGTGCCTTCTAATAAAAGCTCCTTAGATCTCTATCCTCTGAATACAGGTGTCACCTGCAATACAGGTGTCTGTTTTTCGAATTTTTCTAAAGATGTACCGATTTGTGAAAGTGCATGGGATAAAGCTCTGTCTCAAGCTAAAGAAATTATTGAGAAATCAAAAAAGAGAAAAGAAGATAAGGATTTTGAAGAGAAGAAGTTGTATCTTAGTCCAGAGAAGAACAAAACACAAAACGGAAGTTCATACAATAAAAAGCACTCTTCTCGTACATCAAATTTTAATTCTGAGCAAGAGAAAATAAATGTAGCACGGGCACAAAATAAAAGATATCGCAAAGAATTGTCAGTACAAGCTTATGGGTCTAAGTTTAAAAAACAAGAATATCGAAAGCCTTTTAACAAAAATGCAATCCGGAGGACTGATCATTTTACCTGGAGAGATCCTTGGAGGAGATCTAAATCTCCGAAATTTAGGAAATTTTCTGCGTCAAGATCACCATCACTTTCATCGTCGTCATCATCAGTATGTTCTTATTCCGTTACTTCATATAGTTCATCGCGTTGCACTGGATCTTCGTGCAGAAGTTACTCAAGAAGTCCTGTCAGGAGTAGGCGCAAAGAACTGTATCATAAAATAAAGAGAAGCAGGTCTCCCAGAAAGTATAGGGATAGACGATCTCTTTCGAAATCAAGGATGCTTTCGAGGTACAAATCTAGGTGGAGTTCCTCTTCTAAATCTTCGATTTGCAGTAAAAAAACTGATAACTCATCGAACAATCGTCATAGTTTCTCCGCTGCTCCTCAGAAAAAACGAAAAATTTCCCAAACACGTGCGCCAAGTGTGCAGAATAGTCCGAAAACTTGTTCTTTCTATGACTCTGATTCGGAAATTCATTCTCCCTCAAACTCGTGTCGTGCTGTATTTTCTGCGAGTGCATGTTATAGTAGTGATATGAGCATTTCACCTATTTCTAGCCACTCAATTAGTCCATTGAGACAAAACAAAAATTTTGAGAATAGACTAGAGAGATGTATTCGTGTGAATGATAAGAATCTGCAGCACAATGATAAGAATCTGCAACGTAATGATTTGATAATATCTGCAAATGATACATCCTTCAAAAACAAGATATCCAGTCATAATGAATCTAAACAGACAAAACTTTTAAAATTAAATGTTCAGTTGGATGTAAATACATTTTCGAGTCGGAAAGCTGCTGAATCTGAATATATGCCCAAGAAAATACCTGCAGTTTGTACGGAATGGATTCGAACAGTACGACGAGAAGTTGCCAAACCTACTGACAAAAAAACTTTATTGTTTAAGGAATCCTCCGAATCTTCTGTACCCAGGAAGGCGAAACCAATTGATATAGGAGGTGTAGAAACAGTAAAATATCAAACTCGTACTAATAATAAAAGACCTTCTAATAATACAGCCAACGATGATATACCTTCGAATACCCTGCGACTATTAAACGAAGCATTTTCTAAAAGTATTTCTCAATTGAAATTCAGCAAAACTGTCCAGAAAACCAATGTAATTAAAAAACCAAATGAAAGTGAGAGAGAAATAAAAATATCACAGTTATCCACACAGTCTATTCGTAATCCAAAGAAGTCAAAGCGAGAGGAATTGTTGAGACAGTTAAAAGCTATTGAAGAAGCAATCGCAAGGAAAAAAGGACAATAAATTGATCACTCTAAACATAATTTTTGTTCATCTGTAGTAGCGAAGTATGGCTCCTCACACGTAAAATTTGTTAATAATCTTAAGTTTAAAATTCCAGACCATTATAAATGTTCGTGAATAAAGTTAATCAGTTCGAAAATTTTCTCTTTGTAAGTTATTTCGTTTCGTATTTTTATTTATTTTTTAAAATTTTCTTTTAAGAAATTTAAATAATTAAATTATATCTTCATTTATTTAATGCATTAAATTACAACTTCGAGTAGTGCTATAATCTCATTTCATTTATTCGCGAGTAATATTTCTGAAAATTTTATTTTTGTGCATGTTTTTTGGTGTTATTGGAAATAATTTGTTTTTATTACAGTAGACGACGCTTAATGTGATCGCAGTTGATATTATTCGGATATTGTCACTGAATTCCCGAAGTCCCTCTTGTTTGGATACGAAAACATAGAAAATACTTCGCTTATTATAATTACAATTTGGTTAATATGATAAAATATTATAAAATATTTTTTTTTTTTTTTTAACTGAAGTAATGTTGGCAAATAAGATCAAAATATAAATTGCAAAGTGGCAAAGAAATATAGCCAGGTAAGAGATTAAGTCGTTAGATAGCTTGGTTTCGAATTTTATTAATCATTTTAAGCCCCCCCCCCAAAAAAAAGCCTTAGTTTGACATAGATTTTGACGGCAGTTTCTCACAGGTCCCTCCTCTTCAGGGGAAAAAAAAAAAAAAAAAAAAAAAAAATTCTGCAAAAAATTTTTTTTTCCTCGTGGGGAAAAATCCATGAAAACGGTCTACCGAGATCTTTCTTTAAACCTAATTTTTAATTTTACATTACCATGTTCTCTTTCAGTGAGGGATGCCCTCTACGCATTTAGTTTAGGAGTTTAGCATCGATCAAATAATTTCCAAAAATGATAAGAACAATTCATTAGCGAACTTTAACATTAAAGAGTATGTGAACGGTTTATAAACTAATTTTTATCTTTTCCAAATTAAAATGCTGTGAAAGTGCTTGTTTACATGTGTCTGGTTATATTTATAGTAAATTAAATTCCATTGCTATTTTGGAGGGCATATGTTTCTTCGTCGTTTAATGTTACCATTCGGTTAATGTTATCAGAATAGTCGTAGACAAATGTGATCACATTAAGCTGCACCTACTGTATGAAAATTCACGAAATTTTGCCAAGGTTCGCTTTTAATTTGTATGTATATTAGGCGCTTAAAATAGTTACACTAAAGAAAAAATATGTAATGGTTTTAATGTGCCTGGCTGGTAATAATAGTAATAGAAAAGAAGAATTATGTTTATTGTTTTTAAATATCTTAGCTTGCTAAAAAAGTACTCATTAAATTTGAAAGAAAATTAAATATCTTTGGCGTATGGCAATTTATTTGCACAGAAAACAGAAATATTTTATTTCGGGCTGTGGCAGTACACTTTTTTTAAAACGCCGAGTTATCTGGTTAAATTTGAAACATTACGTTTAGCCAAGTGGCAGCACATTTCTTTTTAATCGCTAAGGTTCATGGTTAAATTTGAAGCGCAAATAAGATGATGTTCTGAGCTTCATACTTTATGCCTCTTTCTTTCGAAACCTTTACACATCATCTGACTTCAAAGCAGATTTGGACTCGTACGTGAACAGGACGTTGTGCCAAACCGAGACAGTCTAATCGAGATGTTAGCGACACCACTTTAATTTTGCTTTAGTGGAACAAAAGCACTTGGTACTCGGGAGTACAATCTCTTTATGTAAAGCCTTCAGCGTACAGTATTGGCAGATATTGCCTTAACCAGGTGACGTTGCAACCATGGATATAACTGTTGTGGAGGTCGCTCGTTGATTCCGCTTCGCTACTTAATCAATATATAGTACTCGCCTTTTATTAAACTTACTGGTTAATAAAATCAGGCATTGAATTGCGTTCAGATATCTAAGAACCAAAACAAATGCATACTAACTAGTCTGTGGAAAAATCTCCGCTTACTAAACTTATCACCGCTGCTTATAAAATTCAGATTGTCAAAAGACTGCTTCTTCAACGCGAGAATATCTTACTTGAGTCCACCAAAACTTTGTAGTTCGTCAATTTAACTTATTTTGGACTGTGGCTTATTTACCATGTTTTTGGTTCTACAATAAAACGAAGTTGACCGAAATTTTCTACCCTCTCTGAGACACTATTTTAGAGCTCTTTCTCCACACTAAAGCTCAAAGAGGCAGAATTGCTGTTTTGGTTTTGCGTCTGTCCTTGCTTGTGTTGTGCTTGAATAAAGTGTTTCATATTTTCGGAATGATTTGTCTTCTTGGATTTTCAAAGCATCCTGCATCGGGTAGATGCGAACTCGACTTTGATATTATGAATCAAATTAAGGCCTTTCGTTCTCAACAAATTGCCTTGTCTTTTTAGGTTAACATAAGCAAGCCTCTAGAGGCACTGTGAGTGAGCGTTTCTTCGCGAATATCAGCTGACAGGAGATGGAAGTGCAACTACTGTATCCCATGTTTAAGATTTCCAAATTCAAAATCTACCCTTTGGAATAAACACATTATTTTCGCAAGGAGATCTTAAAAAAAATCATGAAATGCGTCCTAACATAATCCATACATTAAAGACTTTGGATGGAATGAGAGCAATAAGTATAGGCTGTAAGAAAAAGTAAAGAAAGCATTGGTAGTTCTGATAATCATGAAGGGCCAAATTGGGTGGGGGGTGGCGTAGCTAACGAAGTGGAAAATTTCTGCTGACAAGAAACGGGAGGTTTGAAACTGTATAAATTACTAGAAGAAGCATTTTTTTTAAATCTGGTTTCTTTAAACTGTAGCATTTTGAAAATCCTTAAACGAAAAGATTTAAGGAAACGAATTTTGAAAATGCTTAAACGAAACGAAAAACCTTGTCCGGGTCTTCTTTCTTAAAGCTGTTTCAACAAATTGCAAACGACATTGAGCTCTGTAGGACTGCAGGCACCTGCTGCCTACCTATAATTCTCCATCTCATTCCGCCATCCATACGTTCGTGGCTACTTATTATACCTGATACCTTAAAATGTACTCAACTCTAGAGAGAATCACGGCCAATGTCATGAAGGAATACGAGGACAAAAATCGCTGAAATCCTCTCCTTGCGCTTATATCGCCTTCACAATCGCAGCTCCGCAGACGCTAACGTATACGCTTACGTATTCAACTCTCAATATTTGCATAAATCTTCAACGGCATAATTAGTACCACTGGTTTAATACTTTTCGTAAAAATAGACATAATTTACAAATTCTCTTAATTTTGCATACGAGCGTATTTTTCTCCCATATTCCTATTAATTAACAAGGTGTTTTTCTCTATGGTCAGTAAGTGGCATCAGTATACGATTTACAGCATTTCTATTTCATCTGATACACTCTGATTACTTAATTGTTATGCTGTGCGTATACGCTAAAACTTTGATTACATGAACTTCAGTAAGTCGAAATTTTTTGTATAATTGTTTTCAGAACTAGAATTTCGAAGATAATAAAGTGAATATCGAAACTGGTACTAATTCAAAATCGAATTTTCAATATTTATTATTTGAGAGGTACGTTCCTTTAGTTTTGGCGCATTGAAACTTGATTCAATGTGAATTTATTCTTCATTTTTTACCATGAAAACGAAAATTATATGTACGATATACCTTTTATGTAGCGCGTAATTTCAAATTACGTATTTAACTAAATAAACTAAGCTTTAAGAGTTTGACAGATTTAGTCGTCATGTCCCATCTTTTAAAAAAAAAACTGATGTGTACATCACATGACTTCCTTGTACGGAATATTAAATTATACACATTTTTTATTGCTTTCATTTAAACTCATTTGATTGAATTAAATCTACTCCGTCGAGAGCGCATAACCACAATAGAATAAATGCACTCTTTTAAATTCACGATATTGTTTTTAAATAGCGACACTTTGGCGCTAGGTTCACTTAACAGCGTTATATTTCGTTCATATTATAACTCAGAATTCACAAAATTTAATCATTCGAAGAATTATCTAATCATTGCCCACATGTCTATTCAAATAATAATCTAAACGATGTATAAAGAAATTTAAGAAAACAAAACAAAAAAGAAACAGTTTTTTACAGACGATTACTATTTCTCATTCAATTAATTCAGATCTCACTCCAAGGCAAAAATACATAAAAACTCAAAATATCTATATTAAAAATTAAATCTTTAACACTTATTTCCACGAATAAATTCCAGACTGGATTAAACATGATTTAATTCGCAGTAATAAAAGAAGGCGTTATCTTTGTTGTTGTGAAGCTTAGTCTCTCTAGATTGGCAACAAATCTACTATTCTGCTGTTTAAAAGGTAAATAAACATGGCTGTTATCGAAAAAAAAAAAAAAAGGCTTAACCTCACTTAAACAAATTGTAAATTGTTGATAACTCTTAAAAATATTGCATGCAGATTTACTAAAGGTATAAAAACATTCACCGGAAGATAAGAACATCATAATTCAATTATTTTTAAAGCAAAATCACATTTACAAGATATAAGACTAAAGAACGAGATATGAGCCGGGTAAACAAAGCGGGATATATATAAATAAATTTTTAACGTTAGTGCGGCCGATTGCAACCAAATACGAGGTGCACATCTAATGTTATAGCAGTCGTATATACAAAGTCGTCAGTTCTGAGCTATCTATTGGTTACGCCAAAAAACTTTCTTCAGAAATTTAAAGAGTTTTTAATTTTTTTTTTTTTTTTGTTTTTTTTTTTGGAGGAAAAAGGTCTGTGATTCTGCCCTACGTTCAGATGTCATGCAAAAACAACATCGTTAAATTGCATTCATAGCGGTCAAAATGGTATTTTGTTGAAAAGCTGCCTGAAAATTTTCGCGATTACAATACTTCCTTTACTTCGTACAAGGAAGTAAAAATTTGAAATACAATTTATATCAACATTCTTATAAAGTAGTTCTGAGAGCTCATTGTTCTCATTTTATACAGATATATTCTAAAAAAATCTGATGTGGTAACCTCATAATTCTGTACGGAATATTACATTAAACGATTTTTTATTGCATTTTATTTAAACTTATTGGTTGAAATTAATTTTCGTTGATACAT